TTAGGCAGATTGGATCCAAAAGTCCGAAGAAGAGGAAAGAATTCGAAATTGGATGGGCGAGCATCACGGAGCTAAAGAGGATCAAAAGGATTGGACATGGGGCAGCACCCAGTATGAACAACAAAAGAAAATGCAGCGAATGGCTTCCGAAATCCAAAATCTTTTGGTTAACACCGATAATATGTAAGTTTTAGCTCACGATCAATGCGAAAAGGGTTCTTTTCCGTTATACATCCGCGAAAATCAACCCTCGATCATTTCCCTCGATCACGTTATGAAGCTATTGCTCAATCAGAATCTCCAATGCAGATGCGACAAAACGTCCTGCTGGACAGCGATCGACCTGAGTGTTGGCTCATGGATCCAGAGCACCAAAATTCCGTCTCTCACAATCCTACGATTATGGATGGACTCAACAGTGAACCTCGATCAACTATTGTGCGAAAGAATTGGAGATGAATCAGCGCGGTCGACTTCAACAACTAGGATTCTTTGCGTGGAATATCTGGTGAACAAGCTGAGAGGAAAAATTAGAGAACCCAATCGAATCGACGAAGTGGACGAGGCTCTCTTCTCGAAGCGAAAGGCGAACGTGGGCCGAATCTGGCCGCAAGTGTGGATATTTAGAGGAGTTTGCCGGGAAACCAAGGAATGTTTTCTTTTCGAGGTGACCAACCATATTGGAAGCGATGATTGAACACATCGAGCCGGGAACCTAAATTGACTCCCATTGTTGGCGAGAATAGAATACTGAACAGATGGAGGAGGCCGGCTTTACCCATGCTCGTGTCAATAAGTACAACAAGTATGGAGAAACAAGAAGCATCGCGGCACGTCATTTCCTACCGAACTACCTCGCTGAATCCATGGTTCGACGAGAAGTGGGAAAGGACGATTTCTACGAATGGGTGTTGCAACAAATTGCTACGGCATGGATTGATCCTCATTCATTCCTCATTGATTAATAATCAGGGTTTATTTTTGTGAATGTATAACGGAAAGGAACCGCGAAAAGTTTCTGAATAAAACTTTGACTTGCAATGTTTTCTGTAATTTTCAGAATCAGGAAGCAAGTCGCCGTTGTACCGGCAGACTATGTGAATGCTTTTTGGGAAGGAGACGCTTTCTCAGAGGACAACTACTACATGAGAACGGGTTTCTTTGGCTTTGAAGGCGATAAATCTGTGCTGGAATTTGAGAATTATGTGATATTTGTGTTTCGTGGTGGCTTTCCAGAGAGATCAAAGCCTGATGCAAGAGAAGAAATCAGGTCAGACGAGGATTTATTAGGCTGGCTAATAAGTAATGGTGGAATTGCTGGGAGCTGGTCTCAAACTTGACCAATCTTTGGTCTTATTCGAAAGCTGTATTCAAGAAGAACACAGTAGCGAAGAACATTTGTTGATTCGTTCTGTTTTCAAATATTTATACTTCAAATCAAAGTACGCTAGGGTCAGGATCGGCCCTCACATGACGGCTTTTTTCAGCCCTGTTTACAAGGGTTAGGAAAACTTCTTTACATTCCTTTGCTTTAAAACTTAAGCTGGCGATCACTGGTCAGAGTCAGAATTGAGATAATACTTTATTTTAGTCGTTACTTTCAAGACACTTCGAAATGGCGAGAACGACATGACGGGATCCAATCGCTAGCAGAGCATTTATGGACTTATGGTGGTTACTGGAAAGGACGCGGCGACATTGTGACTGTTTTTCGAAAGGGAGCAAATCACAAAACGTGCACTTATCTCTATGGAGCATCTGGTGATTGGATGATTACTGAGGTGAAGACGTGGAGTCGGCCATGTCTACTTGGATGTGGAGATGTTTGTGTTGTGCATTTAATGGCTTGATATCTTTTGAATAAAGGCATACATGAAAAAGATTCCAAGTAACGCAAGAAAGCAGAAAAAAAGAAATGCGGCCTTAAAACAAAGTCCCTTAATTTTTTAAGTGATTTTTCATGGAGTTGACATTTTAAAATTGAACAATAGTTGATTACATTCACATCTTTAAAATAGTTTTCTCCATTTGATTTCATTAATTCCATTTAGATTCCTTTAAAACTTAAAAGGTAAAAACTGAGGAAAAAATAACATTTACGAATCAATTAAACCTTGATTTTGGCTAATATTGAACCATCTTCAGGGTAACATTAAACCATCGATCAGCCGCTTCCTTTGGTTTCTCCGTTGAAAAACGAACAGCTTCGAGTTTGAATGAAAATGAGTAGGCCTTTCGCTTGACTTTTGCTCCTAGAGCTTTTTGAATTCGGCATTACCCAAGAAAGAAAAATTAGTAACGCAATAAAATCTGAAGAAAATCAGAAAAAACTACACTTTCGGGTTGACTTTTCGTATTTCGGATACAATAATTTTAGCGAAAAATAGAAAAGAAGTGATACTTCGAATAAAAGATCGGTGTTATATTCAACCTGGTCTTCTCTTTTTTCGATCACCCTCTAGATCTCGTCTTCTATTCAAAGAAATACGGTAGACTAAAGTAAACAATAAACAAAACAAACCAAATTCTCGGACGATAATTCCGGTTGATCACGCCATTTTCGGACCAATTTTCGTTTTCATCACCAACTCGGCTCATCGGGGTGCACTACTATTAGAGAAAATACGGTAATTAAAAGCTTACCTTATTTCCTGTTTATCATCGTAGTCTTTACTAAACATTGAGGCAAATGGAGTGCTTCTGATTCCATAGTGATATCTTCTATTTTTCATGAGTTAATGTAAATCTTCATTTCGGCACTTTATTTCTGAATAAAGTATTCATATATAAAAACAAAAATATGACTACTCAGATACTTCACTGGTACTACAGTTTATCGCAAAAGAGCTGAAATTTGTCTTCTCTTTCTTCCATTAACTTCTTTTGAGCGATTTATTAAATGGGAAAAAGAAAAAATGTATGCTTCTATCAAAAAAATTGTTTTTGAATTGAATCATTTTCCAGACACCACATAGACCTTTAAATTCCAAATTTCAACTTTCAACTTTCAGATTGACTACTTTATTTTCTCCATAGATTTTTTGATGACTATTTGATCAACATAGACCTTTAAATCAGAAAATAGAAATTTGATGAGAAAATGAAGTCGTCAAATCAAATTCCAAAGTCTTAGTATTTATTTCAACAACTTTTCGTTTTTATACTAAACTTTCTCTTTTTGCAATTCACATTTCATAAAATTTGCTTTTTAGTTGGCTGTAAATGAAGAAAAAATTCGTTTTCTGGTTTGTGGCTTCACTGGCACAAGTTGTGACAGCAGATAAAGGTCCGTTTGTTTCGATCGATTACTTTGTTCTTTTTTTGTTACCCAACTCGTCTACTGGCTCTTTTTTTAGAATGGATTAACCAATGCTACAGCCAGGGTGAAAAAAAAATCGTCATTCATTCGCCTGGTGGCAATTGGATAAACTTTTCGAGCGATGTGACGTCTCAGTAAGAGTTGTTTCGTGAAAGATTTTCCGGACCCGGCACGGTCAAAGCCTTAATGAGCTTGGACTCGATCAAGGCTTGCCCGCAGCTATGGTCCGGCCCTTGGCTCAAGGCTTTTTGGTCGCTAGAGACAACCCTTCTCATTTTATCTTCATCACTCAATTACAGTCAACGGTATGAGGTCTATCGAAAGTTCACGTGCACTGCTGATCCAGGCCATTTCGCGTTTGTTCAAGTAGGAGTTTCTTTTTCAGTTTATCCTCAAAAGTCTGTTTCAGATAAACGACCACATGGATTCACCGTCAGACACAAAAACTATCGGTTGTGGACAGAAGCGTAAATGGATGCACAAAGGTGAAGTCGTTGTCACTGTTGGATGCTACACGGGCCCACGGGCAAGTTGCTTTGCAAATGGGTTTAGTTAAAGGTATTAAAGGTAGCCAAGCATTTGAAAATTTTCTCGAGACAGCAAGCTTTAGGCAAATTGGATCCAAAAGCCCGAAGAAGAGGAAATCTGAGTAGGGAAACAGCTTGCCTACTAGTTTTACCCCTCCTCATAACCTGTAACTACTTGCTGACAGCACTTTGAAGAAACATTGAAAATGTATGATTTTTTGGAGGTAGAAAGTCGGGTAGTCAAAAAAGGCGACGGCTCGATGATACGGCCTAGTCAGTTTAGCTAGAAACCTATCTTGGTGTCAATAGATAAAAGAAGAACACAAAAAGTTAGGTATTTAGCCAAATTTTCAGAGAAATCGAGTTGTTCTTCTTGGCCGTCCTTTCTTCTTTCTTCGGTGCATAAGTCCAGTTGTTTTTTTGCTGTTTAAACAATGCGAGAAACGGTCGAAGGATCGCATTTGAAGAGATCGGAGACAACGGCTCGAGAAATTCCTTTTTTTCTTGCTTTCATGATTTTTTTCTCTTTCGGGAGTCGTCAAGTAGGTACCTGGCATCTGAAAAAACAAAAATTAGTGTAAATTAATAAATTTGAAAACAATAAAAATGAGAAACATAGAATGTTGCAAGACTTTTGCACCCAGTTTTTAGGGTATTTGTTAGTAGTTTTGTCATTTACTTTTTTGTTTTACGCTGAACTTCAAATTTGTTTTTGTAAATAAAGTGTACATGTATTATTCTAATTAAAAACAAAAAAGCCCTACGAAGGGGTGGCATTTTCTATAAAAAAATTTCATCGATTTTTTTGAAAAAGTTATGTTGCAAGACTTTTGCTCGGTACTGTATTTCTTCAGGTGACGTTCTTTTGGAAAAGTTCTTTCTGAAAAACACAAAATTAAGTACCAAGAACAATAAAAACAAGTTTTAGTTTTCAAGTTTTAAGTTTCAAGTTTTAGTTTTCTCTAACTAATGCGTGTCGAATTTAAGGTTTGTTTTTTGCTTTCTTTTGTTTTTCTCAAAACTTGCAGCTTTTTTCAGAAAGTCGTCAGCGCCTACTCGTTGAGGGCTTTCTTCATCACGAAATTCGCCTCTTTTCAGCGAATTCCCTCCGAAAGACTGTAAGGGTTTATGAATTTAAAAGTTTATCGTATAGAATGAAGTTAGTTACGACTAAATTTAGTTACGAACTAAAGTTTATGAAGCTTACAAAATGTTTTTTGTTTAGCAAGCTCGCCGTTCGCCTCCCGAAATCGATCGCTCCAGTCCGGCCCCGGTTTCGTCTCGTTTCAAAGGTTTTTACTACTACTTTTCAAGTGCTTTTGGATTTATAGCTGCCTTGCCTAATTGCCACTTTAATAGTTAACGATAAAATTCATTAAAACATTGATCTTGATCATTTTCAGGCATCCGACATCTCGCTGAAAGAAATCCTCTCACGAGATGCTGCCGGTGAAATACTCGAGCGATTCTGCAAAGGTTATTTGTTTTATTTTTCAAACTTTGCCTTTTGTTTTAGATCAAAACTTTCTCAAACAAACAGACGATGAAGGGAACACGATGCTACACCTGGTTATCAAGGTGGTCTTATTAATAATGAGTATATAGGTAGTTAGTTGTAAAGTAGCTTAAAGTAACTTTTGAAGTAACTATTCCCGTCTGTGGCTGTAAAATCCGGAACTGAGACGAAGAAATTCCGAGACGCTGTTTTTGGTTGTCAGGCTTTTTTCTTTAATCGGTGCATTTCCACGCTCTTTCATCCGATTGCAGAGCCTCCATATTGTCATCTTCGAAACGGAGAAGAGTTTTTGAATCACACTGACTTTGAGTCCAACTTTTTGAGCTTCAACGATTCGCTCCTTTGTGGGACCGTCGATGTATTGCTTGCACGGCATCTCTAAAAAGAAACAATATCAAAAATTAGCAAAGCTCTAACGTAAAAAAAAAACAGGAGAAAAAAAGAGAAAAGGTATCAAGACTTTTTTGCTTTGTTTTTTGCAGTTTTTTATTTTTCGTAAATAAATAGTTTTTGTAAAGAATATACTTTCTGTTAATTATAAGTTTCTAACTTTGTTTTATCTAATGAAACAAAAACGAGCTGAATCCAATACTTTTGGATGCTCAATTTGCTAATTTTTTGGAAGGCATCAAGACTTTTTTGACCACTTTGACCATGTATGTCTAATTTGTCAAAAAACCCAACCATTTTCATGATGGCGCGGAGCTGAAAAGGCAGCAATGACCGCACCAACACTCGTTCCGCCAACCCAATCGAATGATTTGAAGACTGAAGTGATTGATGGAGAAGTTGATGAAAGGCGGAGAGACAATTCTCGAAGAGCCTAAAGCGAATAATATTAGGCTGTCCAGAAAGTTTTTTAGCTCCTTTTCGTACTTCCGCTGAAAAATAACAAATTCACCAATTAACCTATGGTTTCCTCGAAATAAAAAGGGTTTAGACAAACTCGAGAATGAAAACGTGTTTTCGAAAAAATCTATAAAAACCTCTACGAAGAAATTGGCTGAAAGAATTTCTCTGAAGGCTTTCAACCAAAAGACAAACGGGCAACCAAGAATTGTTTTTGCACGTTTTTTGCACGCTTCCAAAAAAATCCAGACATTGACAAAACCTGTTTTAATGTTATTTTGCAGAAAAATAATTGGCCTTTCTAATGAAACAGTTCAATTGGTGCATTTGTTGGTTTTAAACGGAAGTACAAAAAGGAACAAAAAGACTTTCTGGATAGCCCAATCTTCCATTTATAGGCCAACTAATTACGCCAATTTTATAGATTTTCAATCATATTAAAGGAGGCTTACTAAAAAAATCTTCTTTAAAAGCCCCAACCATAATCTCGGCGGATCCTTTGATCCCGCCTCCATCGAGTGCGACGAGAATTTCCCTTGTCGAATTAGAATCCCTCAAACGTTCCTCAATGAGCTCTTCGTTTAGATCACTAAAAATGAAATTTAACAAGAAACGATGGATATAAAACTAATAGTAAGCTGGTACTATCTAAAAGCTAGCACAAGGGACAACCATTGAGCAGCCAACTCACCTCATCCAAAATTTCGACTCGCGCTCGATGGGAGAGTTGGAAGTTAAAATGCGCAAATCGTCGGCGATTCTAAAAGACAAAAATTTAAGAAAGATATTCATTGCTTACTCAGATTGTTCATTCATTTGAATGGGCGTCTCTCCGTGAGAATTTCGACTTAGCCACGGTTCATCACAAGCATTCAATGTGCAAATGAGACGAGCACATCGACGAGCGTTCAACTAAAAAAGCACAATTTATATTCAACATGTTAGGCAATCTGTTAGCGCACAGCTCTAAAAGTGCGCTTTAAACTGCCTTACAACTAACTACCTATATACTCATTATTAATAAGACCACCTTGATAACCAGGTAGCATCGTGTAGCATCGTGTTCCCTTCATCGTCTGCTTGTTTGAGAAAGTTTTAATCTAAAACAAAAGGCAAAGTTTGAAAAATAAAACAAATAACCTTTGCAGAATCGCTCGAGTATTTCACCGGCAGCATCTCGTGAGAGGATTTCTTTCAGCGAGATGTCGGATGCCTGAAAATGATCAAGATCAATGTTTTAATGAATTTTATCGTTAACTATTAAAGTAGCAATTAGGCAAGGCAGCTATAAATGCAAAAGCGCTTGAAAAGTGGTAATAAAAACCTTTGAAACTAATAAAACCTAATAAAAACCTTTGAAACGAGACTTTTTCGATCGCCCCAGTCCGGGGCCGGACTGGAGCGATCGATTTCGGGAGGCGAACGGCGAGCTTGCTAAACAAAAAACGTTTTGTAAGCTTCATAAACTTTAGTTCGTATTAACTTCATTCTATACGATAAAACTTTTAAATTCATAAACCCTTACAGTCTTTCGGAGGGAATTCGCTGAAAAGAGGCGAATTTCGTGATGAAGAAAGCCCTCAACGAGTAGGCGCTGACGACTTTCTGAAAAAAGCTGCAAGTTTTGAGAAAAACAAAAGAAAGAAAGCAAAAACAAACCTTAAATTCGACACGCATTAGTTAGAGAAAACTAACGAAGTTTGAAAGAATTGAAAATCTATAAAACGTAATTTTAAAAAGTTTGTTACATACAAATTGTTGAATGGTTACGATAACGCTTAGCACGAGCAGGAACCTAGACAAAACAGCGCCCATACAAAAATAGCCAAAAATTTGAAAAAGACTACGATTAGATTTTTCGACTCCAATGTTTTTATACATAACAACGTGTAACTTTTGTTATTTTTTAAATGTTTTTAAGCACCTTGTGCGTGTTTTGACAAACCGACGGAATATTTGATCATCAGAATCATGTTTTATGGCTCATTTTAAATAAACAATGCGGCACATTTTGTTTTTCATCTTTTTTTCTTGTTTTTACTGTTCTTGGTACTTAATTTTGTGTTTTTCAGAAAGAACTTTTCCAAAAGAACGTTACCTGAAGAAATAGAAGCCTTCTACTCTTCAACGACAACGAAGAACAAAATGTGCCGCATTGTTGGGGGTGGAACAAATGCGACCTTTTTTTGACTGGAAAAGGCCTTAGGAAAGGCCGTAGAGCTTCAAAAATGTTTTCCTGAAAGGGAATTGTATGGGTAGATTCCGAATTTCGACAAATCAAAATTTGGGCTAAAAGGCAAAAACTGCGGGAAAGCGTTAAGTTGCGTAGTTTTTGCCTTTTAGCCCAAATTTGACGTGTCACCGAGGTCAGATTTGTCGAAATTCGGAATCTACGCATACGATTCCCTTATCTGGAACATTTTTGAAGCTCTATGGTCTTTCCTAAGGCCTTTTCCAGCAAAAAAAAAGGTCGCATTTGTCCCACCCTCCTAAATACCAGTTTTTCTGTGCAAACTTATGAAATTTATGAATTTATGAAAGATTTATGAAACGCGAGTATCTTTTGTGTGCATCTCAAACAAGATTTTTAAGAAAAAAACTGCATAAATTTTAATTACCATACATAAATATAATTACCATACATAAATAAAGTCATCACTTTCATTCGGGTAACCAAAATAAAAAAATTCTCATTTCTTGATGTTGCGTCTTCGTAGAGTCGTCCTTTCCATCGCCTTCTTTGTTTTAGTTTTTGGGGCTGAGCGTATCACATATCGACCAATTGGAGTCCCAGTTTGGAAACGAGTTCGTTGAATTTAAATATTTTCACACTTGAGCTTGTTTTCTTGTGGCTTTGATCAAAGTTACATCTATTTTTTTAGATCTCTAATCATCTGATCTACGATTTTCCACCCGACAACGATGGTTTGCCCGATTCGATTTATCGAGGAGACTTATCCAGGTAATTTATTAGTGGAGTAAATTATAATTGCTAGTTCTTTGTTTAGTTATCCGTCAGATGCATTGAATTCGCATTCACCTTATGGGCCAACGATGGACATTGAATCTGAGGATGAGGTAGATAAAATGATTTTCATTGAGTGGAGTGCTGTGCTGCTGGTCGTTGTTATATGTATTTTATTTAGGATGAAACATTTCGAGAGTTCTTTGAAGATTACCACCTTCGCCACTTCTCCACATTTCTCAAGAACGGTGATGAGCATTTTGCTGAAAACGTGATAAGGTAAATTTTGCTTTGTTTCAATTAAAATTACTTTAGTTGCGCAAATTACCCGAAGAGTGATCTTCTTTATGGGGTATTTCGAATTAAGCAAGTAAGTTTTCTCTCATAAAATAGGATTTGATCTTTTTATACTAGGCCTATGTAAATCGAGGCGTTGGTTTTGAGTTACCACCACCAGAGCTCTGCGGAAATGACAAACGACCCAAGAAGCTTTTCAGAATTGATGCACAAATGTGAGTTTTTATACTTTTACAGCATAAAACTTCATTTTTAGCACATCTGGGCAATCATTTCTTCACACGTTAAAGGCTATTGGTTTATTTTAAAAGAGTTAGCAACTGGAAATTTTTATTTTAGCTGATGGCATTACGAAAAACGAGACGATAAAAGGCAATCCGATGATTTCCTTCACGAAACCAAAAAGAGATGGATTTGTTCACCCGATTGGAGCGTTTATGGCCTATGGGATACATGAGAAATACGATGTAGAGGGTTGGTTTTGCGCAATGGGTAAGCCCGATAACTGCTTTATTTTAGAAAATGCTGTCTCTGACTATGCTCGAATGCAAAATGGAAATATGTTCTTTGCTTTTCGAGGTAAAATATTAAAGAAACCTTTTGTTGTTAAAGTAGTTTTAGGTTCTCAAGAAAATGATCGATTTGCTTATTCACATGCCACTTTTTTATGGACCGCGGTAGAGTTTAAACTTCTGGCGTTTAGTTTTATTTTTCTTGTTTAGGAAGAAACAGTACTGGTTGGAGACAAGAAAGTCACAAAACAGGTAAAGGTGTAAAAGCTAACTCGTGTAATATATGTAGTAAAGTTTATTATTTAGATTCCGCTTCCATTCATCTACAACGTTGACTTCTTACTACACGAAAAGGATCAAATGAATTCGGAACCGATAACCAGTGATGAGATCCTGGATATAATCAATCATAAACCGAAACAGTAAGCGCTTCCGTTTATTTTATCTTTGAAGCTTTTTAGGATGTCTCTTGGCGGTATTCGTTTGGAGTTAAAATGGGATTCGTGGTCTTGTTGTAGTGCTTGTTGTGACAAACTGGATTGGGAGAGTTGGCATGCTACAAATTGGTAATTAATTTATCTTTTTTCATCTTTGTTTTTGTTTAGTCACGATGTCCTGAGCTACCGTACTCGTCGGGGACTTTACCATTTTACAAAAGTAAGCACTTTTGAGCGTTTTAAAAATGTTCAAAATATTCAGATAAATGACGCAGAGTTGAGAAAAAATGACTCCGAAGGAGTTGCCGATTTATTCGATGTAAAACCGTACAAGTATTTATTCGATTTTTATGACTACCATCATACTTTTTAGAACAACAGGAATTCCTGTGGCTTCATCGATTTGGAAAGTGTTTCCAAAAATGTGGAAACGAATGAACAAGGTTTATTCTGAAAAATCCTTTGATCTTTTGTTTTCAGCTATTCAAGTTATCGACAGAAGAAATGTCGTTCGTGTGGAAACAAGTTTTTGAGGTTTTTGTTGACCATTTGGATTTATTGATTGCAAACTTTTTTAGATGGCCGACTGTGCAAAGGATAATCAAAAGAAAAATTGTACGGCGTGGGACATTTGCCATGGAATCGATCGTAAAAATATTCCAGTAAGTTTTTTATACTTTGCTTTACGCTTTTAGTCATGCATTAAATTTTTAAGATGCTGGTTTTTAGAGGGTGCAAAACGACGTAATCGACCCATGTAGTGGACTCGAGATTATGGTATTTGATGGGAGCTTACCCGAGAACATTTGAACACGTTTAGGAGTTTAAAGCGAACGCGGAGAAAATGGAGCTCATTGTTGAAGAGGGTGCCGTCTACAGAATTGTTATTGATTTTGATCACTACGAGCAAGAACCAATGGAAGTGAGGATATAAATTTTAGAAATTAAATGGAAATTTATTAATCAATCGATGTACCAAAGTATAATAAATGATTAACACCAATATTTATAGCTTCTTTTTCTTTTCTATTTTCTACTTTAGGTATCTTGGACGAGAACCGCTCAAAAAGTGAATGATATGGAAATTGATGATTCGTGTGAGGAAATACAAACACTTTATCGACATCCAAATAAGCGGTAACCAGCCAATTCGAAATATATATCTGTTTGCTTAGAGATTTACTTGTGCCTTCTATGCTTCACCTAAAGAAAAGCATTTCTGTGGATGCTCGATGGGGAGTGAAAAATGACCTTCAAGTGTTGATAACGTTGAAGAAGTAAATTTTATTTAAATACTTGATTGATCTTGTTTAGAGTACCTAAAGAGTTCGAGTCACCAGTGCTGAAGATCGTTTTGATTGTTGGTCTCATCCTCGGTAGGTTTAAAGCTTAGTACAGCTTGAATAAAATAGTACTTCTTATTTTAGGACATTTCTTTCTCATCAGCGTTTTTTGCTTGCTGAGTTGCATTACGGAAATGTGTTACGAGAGGGGTCGAAAGAAGATTTCCGAGGAAAATGAAAATCCCAAATGATTTTCGAGATTATGATCTTATTTTTATGTAAATAAAGGACTCTTTGAAACTTTTGCATAAACAGGAACAAATTCAAACAAGGAAGTCATTAAATGACTTGAAATTTCCGCTTTCTGACTTTAGGGTTGTTTAAAGTTGTGCGGGGAGACTGATCGCTTTGGAAACGAGTTTTCCTCAAGTACGGGAAAACTTTTTGCCACCGATTTTGGGAAAAAGTGCGATCTCTTCCCGGTCTGACATTTGACGTTTTCGGCTATCCCTATATAAAAACGCTACAGGATAAGTGATGTACGTGCACGAGGAAAGTCAACACCAATTATTGCCGATTTGGATTCACTTGAGACATCCTCCCCCAAATCATTCCTTTATAAGAGAATTCGTTTGGCTGAAGAGAGTCAAATTTTACCTTCAACACTCCTGTAAACATGTTATTTCTTTTGAGTTTCTGGCTAGTCGTCTTGCAAATCAGGTAAGTAGTCAACTTTGTAAAATTAGTCCTTTAAAAACTAATGCCTGTTTTAGTGCTGAAGATTTGTGGAGGAGGGATCTGTTCCTTGGGAGAAGCTCGTTTACCGACAATGAGCAAACGCATGGAGTCAGTGGGATTGCTATGGTAAGTGTATATGAAGGGAAATAAGAGTCCGGTTATACCTAAACACAAGATACCTAATCAACTATCTTACAATTAGTCTGGATATCTAATCATTGATTGAAATTTCAGAATCGACAAGGCACCCCATTCACCATTCATGCACCCGACCCGAGTGCTTTCCTCGGATTTGTGCGTCTTAAAACTTTAACTAGCTGCTGTACATTGTTACTTATCTAAATTAAAATTTTAGGTCTCACCAAATCGTTTACCCGCTTCACCCTTGGCAGCTACAATGGAGACATCGTTTGGTATTCGATCGACTCCATTAACCAGCGTCCAATCACCCGATGAGCCCATTCCTAGCTATATGCCTCAATACAATGATCTCAGCCCGTTCAACCCATTGAATAGAGGTGAGCTCAGGGAAATATTTGAATTGTCTGCCTAAATGATAACAAGTTAAATAACCCTACAATTAATTTAGGCCCATTTTTTGCTTTCCACGGACGTGCCTCGCCCACTTCTTTAGAGTGGCTCACAAAGCACTTGAAGTTGACGAAAAACATCGATGCCCTTGGAAGACACACGGAGAAAATTTTGCCCAACGTTGAGGACCAAGAAACCGTCTTTGATCCAAAGTCATTCATGCCACAAAGTCCCACCCAATTGTTCAGGTTTTAAAAGCTTTAAAGCATTTTGTATATAACCCCCTCTCATGTATAAAGTTTAATAAATAACAATTCGAAAACAACAATGCAAACGTTATACAACAAAAAGATATTTCTATTCCTCATCGAGGTCTTAACAATGTGAAAATTGTACAAACCAAACATTAAAATTCGTGCGCCCATCATTACACTCGGGGCTTTCCTTGGCCAGCTTTTTTGAAACGTTTTGCGTCCTCAATTCGCAGATCGCTTAGTGAAGGTTGGACTTGTTTCTTGTCTAAAAAAGATGTCATTTAAAAATTCACGTACCAAAACTTACTTTTGTAACCCTTCCACACTTCGCTCAATGCCGACGCTCTGGTCGAATCAGTTTTTACCACATCGGGGATCTAGAAAAAAAAGGAGTAGCAACAAACCCAAAGAATCTTACATTGAGCATTTTTCTGACTGCGGGAACCTTGAAGAACCCAGCGTAGAAGAGTGAGACGATATTTGAAGCACACCAATATACACAAAGACCCTGAAAATTGTTGTTTAAAAACTCGTAATCGTAAAACTTTTAAAGAATTCTCACCGCAGTTTTTCACAAAATAAGAAATTATTCAATTAGGCAGTTAGGTATATGTAAAACTAGCAAATACTTACTGATGCAAATTGGCTTGAAGAGATGAGAATAATAACCGGCAATCCATATTGCATTCCAAGGCGCATCCAAGGGGTCATCTGATCGGCCGATGCACCGCTCTCAATTCCTACCTAAAAAATAGATTTAATTTGTTTAATCCAATTCAATGAGAAAACATATTACCAAAACTTACTCGCATAACCATAGCCATTGTGGCAGCTGAAATCACCGGTAGAGCCCAATACGGATCGCAAGATGTGAGATCGGTGAACCATAAAGCACCACCAGTGGAAAATCCCGGATAACTGACCTAAACAAATGTAGATAATAAAATAAACCGACAACTAAAACAAACCGCTGCCATTTTCCGGATTGCTAAAAATTGGGTCATGAAAATACCACCATTCACAAGCATGATCCCCAATTGGCGTCCCATTTTGATATCCTGCATAGGTAGTAATAGATAAAATAAAGATTTTAGCTTTCCTCCCACCTTTGCTTTGTAGAAATCCCTCTGTTCTAGTAAGATTTGGTGAACTAAAATTAGCAGTTTATTTGTAAAATTGCATCACGTACTTGCTAGATTGTCCCCTTCTCTCCTGGCATCTTCTATTCGATTTCTGTATACACAGCAATATGAGGCAAAATTATCAAAAACTCACCGAAAAGCGTCAAGTTCTTTCTTGTACTTGGATTGCTTGGCGACGAGTTTCTGTGACATAATCGGCACCCCGATAAGTGCTAACCGCAAGAGAATGGTTGCTAAAACAAATAATTTTGAAATTCTAAAGTCTACTTACTGCAAACAATGGCAGACCACCAGGGAACGTCTAGATGAACGTGAATTGATTCAAGGGCCCATCGAAAATACGAGCTCGGCTTCCATCACGACCACAAGCCTAATTCTTGTAGCACGGATTCACCTAAAATTATCGTATATTTATATTTTATATAGCGTTTTGATATGTTTTTGCATTTTGTTTATGTTTTTATGCTGTTTGCGTCTATTTTCTGTTGTTGTCTTACAGATGTAGTCAAGCTTCTGCCTTGATTGCAAGAACAAATAGATTTTTTCCATGTTTTGTTTAGTTGTTGTGTTTTTATTGTTTGTTTAAGATTTAGTTTTATCAATTTGTATACTATTTTATTGTTTATGATTCTTTGGGCTTTATTACCGTAAATACTGTAATAGTACCCCATCCCCCTCGTACAGTCGCGTAGTCGCAAAGGTTTTTTTAGTATTTCATTTTTTTCAAAGCACCCGTACTTTTAAAAAATGCGTCTTTGGTATCAAAAAATAGCTGAAATTCAGGGCTATTTTTTGATACCTAAGCGCGCATTGTAGCATAAACCAGTGTCGAGAAAAACTCGTTCAAAGCTAGACTACACAACACTCCCCACCGTCATAATGGGGGTGGGACACTATTACAGTATTTACGGTATGTTTATGATTGTTTATGATTGTTTATGATTGTTTATGATTGTTTATGATTGTTTATGAATAAGCGGAAACAGCATAAAACGAAACAAAATCTTAAACAAACAATAAAAACACAAAAACTAAACAAAAACATGAAAAAAAACTATTTGTTCTAAAAAATAAACAAAATGCAAAAACATAAACATAAACAAAATGCAAAAACATATCAAAACGCGTAAATAAATTATTTTTCGCGGCAAAATGGCAAAACGGGCTTTTCTAGGTTGCTTGAGTTAATCTTCTATAAAATCTCTATAAAATCTCTATAAAATTTCTAGAAAATGATTAAAAACATTTAGAAAACATGATACCCTACTGTGCAATAATGTCTCAATCCAAATCGGATACAATATATGCATGCAGAACACATCCTTGTACATAACTCAAAAGATCCAAACCAAAACCTTAATGGACCACAAAAAAAGTCAAATAAGTGACTTTTTTTCCTTCTCAAAAATCTAGCGGAAGAAATTTGCGAAAAATGGGAACCGATTAGTGAAAAGGGAAAAGCCTTTGAAGTTTTGACTCTCTTTTTCTCTAGATTTTTCTGAGCATTCTTTCTGAAAGTTAGGGTTCTCTTGAAAGAATGAACTCAAACATTTTTGTCTAAAGAAATCTTTTCTTTTTTGATTCTTTCACTGGCTTTAGAACCCCGGAAGGCAAAGGGAAAGAAAAAAAACGAGAGTTCTTGCTAAATTGGCCTTGATTTTGGGTTAGCAAGTTGTTGGAAAGTTTTCGAGTTAAAAAAAGAAAGTTTTTGGAGTTGGCAAGTTGGGAGGCCAGAGAAGTTGGCAGTGTTGGATAAAGTGTTGGATAAAGTCATGAAAGACATTCATAAATAGTACAGAAGCTCACTAATTTGTGACTTTTTGACTAGTCTTCAGAAAAAACTCGCTTAAGACTGGAAAGGTCAGAGCTTGAAGCGAAGAAATATGAGTGTATCGGAGTGGGGAGAAGCTCTCCCTCCTCAAGTTCTTTCAAAGCAATGGGGTCCTTTCTCTTCTCCTTTCTTCTATAAAATGGGGTCTCCGGGGACTCCTCACCTCTTCTTCTCCGCAAACAAAAGAGGAGATTCTTCCAATCCTCCTTTTAAATGTGAACAACTCCCGCTCAGCGCTGGGTTGGTGTTGAGCAAAGATTGATAAAAGTATTAGACTATTCAGAAAGTCTTTTCGTTCCTTTTCATAATTCCGTTTAAGGTTGGCCGATAAGTCTTTGGAGACTTTTAAAATTTGTTTAGAAATGAAAAATTCACCAATTGGCCTACGGTTTGCTCCAAATAGAAGACGTTTATTATATAATTTTCTTTTTACACTAATCTGGGCCCGTTTCCAAGAAAATCCGAGCGCAAAAACCGATTTCGCATAAAATTCGATAAAAGGTGATACAAAGAAATTTGCTGAACGGATTTTTCTGAAAATTTGGCGATTTACCTAACTTTTTGCGCTTTTTTAAATCTATTGACAACAAAATAGGTTTCTTTGAACCAAAGTGTCTAAATAGCCGTTGCTCTTTTTGACTGCCCGAGTTCGCACTCCGAAAGTCCAGAAATAAAACATTTCTTAAGATTTCAACGATTTTTTTTTAAATATCAAGCCTTTCTAATGGAACAAACCGTAGGTCAATAGATCAATTGATCTTTCTAAATAGCTTTTTAAATGAAGTATCCAAAGAATTATCGGCCAACAGAATAATACATTTACATCTGAAGATCTCAATGTGAGGGTGGAATCAAATATAAATTGATGGGCAAATTCCAACCCGAACCAAATTCCATTGGAATCAGAATTTAGTCCTGTCTAGAGTACCGGTACTACGCCAAGTCACTTGCCTATTTTGACCTTTAGTTCTTACATAGATATTCGAAGCCGTACATATTGGATACCAGATCGCCAATCATAGAAATTCTACAGATATCTTAAAGTAGCTTGCTCGTGGGGGCCTAATCAAAATAGCACCACCAAAACAGCGCCGTTCAAAACAGTGCCCATACAAAAATGGCGGCAAATTGTAAAAGATTGCGATTAGATTTTTCAACTCCAAGGTTTTCTACTTTTCACAACAACTTATAACTTTTGTTATTTTTAAAAGTTTTAAAACAATGCGGGGTGGGACAAATGCTACCTTTTTTCGCTGGAAAAGCAAAGGCAAAGGCCGTAGAGCCATAGAGCTTCAAAAAGGCCGTAGAGCTTCAAAAATGTTTTCATATAGGGGAATCGTATGCGTAGGTTCCGAATTTCGACAAATCAGACCTCGCTGACACGTCAAATTTGTCGAAATTCGGAATCTGCCCATACGATTCCCGATCAGGAAAACATTTTTGAAGCTCTACGGCATTTCCTAAGGCCTTTTCCAGCCAAAAAAGGCCGAATTTGTTCCACCCCCAACAATGCGGCACATTTTGTTGTTCGTTGTCGTTGAAACGTAGAAGGCTTCTATTTCTTCGTTCTTTTGGAGAGGTTCTTTCTGAAAAACACAAAATTAAGTACCAAGAACAGTAAAAACAAGAAAAAAAAAAGATGAAAAACAAAATGTGCCGCATTGTTTATTTAAAATGTGCCATAAAACATGATTCTGATGATGAAATATTCCATCGGTTGTGCGTCAAAACACGCACAAGGTGCTTAAAAACATTTTAAAAAAGAGTTACAAGAGTTACAAGTTGTTATGAGAAGTATAAACACATTGAAGTCAAAAAATCTAATCGTAGTCTTTTTCAAATTGGGGCTATTTTTGTACGGGCGCTGTTTTGTCTAGGTTCCTGCTCGTGTTAAGCGTTGTCGTAACCATTCAACAGTTTTTATGTAACAAACTTTTTAAAATTGCGTTTTATAGATTTTCAATTCTTTCAAACTTCGTTAGTTTTCTCTAACTAATGCGTGTCGAGTTTAAGGTTCGTTTTTGCTTTCTTTCTTTTGTTTTCTCAAAACTTGCAGCTTTTTTCAGAAAGTCGTCAGCGCCTATTCGTTGAGGGCTTTCTTCATCACGAAATTCGCCTCTTTTCAGCGCATTCGCTCTGAAAGACTGTAAGGGTTTATGAATTTAAAAGTTTTATCGTATAGAATGAAGTTAATATGAACTAAAGTTTATGAAGCTTACAAAACGTTTTTTGTTTAGCAAGCTCGCCGTTCGCCTCCCGAAATCGATCGCTCCAGTCCGGCCCCGGTTTCGTCTCGTTTCAAAGGTTTTTATTACTACTTTTCAAGCGCTTTTGCATTTATAGCTGCCTTGTCTAATTGCTACTTTAATAGTTAACGATAAAATTCATTATCTATTGTTTCTTGTTAAATTTTATTTTTAGTAATCTAAACGAAGAGCTCATTGAGGAACGTTTGAGGGATTCTAATTCGACAAGGGAAATTCTCGTCGCACTCGATGGAGGCGGGATCAAAGGAGCCGCCGAGATTATGGTTGGGGGTTTTAAAGAAGATTTTTTTAGCAAGCCTCCTTTAATATGATCCAAAATCTATAAAATTGGCGTAATTAGTTGGCCTATAAATGGAAGATTAGGCTATCCAGAAAGTCTTTTTGTTCCTTTTTGTACTTCCGTTCAAAACCAACAAATGCACCAATTGAACTGTTTCATTAGAAAGGCCAATTATTTTGCTGCAAAATAACATTAAAACAGGTTTTGTCAATGTATGGATTTTTTTGGAAGCGTGCAAAAAACGTGCAAAAACAATTTTTGGTTGCCCGTTTGTCTTTTGGTTGAAAGCCTTCAGAGAAATTCTTTCAGCCAATTTCTTCGTAGAGGTTTTTATAGATTTTTTCGAAAACACGTTTTCATTCTCGAATTTGTCTAAACCCTTTTTATTTAGAGGAAACCATAGGTTAATTGGTGAATTTGTTATTTTTCAACGGAAGTACGAAAAGGAACTAAAAGA